ACACACACATATATATATATAATATATATATATATATATAGTATATATATACTATATATATATATATATATGTATCTATATATATATATATATATATAGTATATTTATATGTATTAATATATACATATATGTCTATACATACAACAGAATTATGGACGTCAAAATCACTACTGTAGTCAACTGAATGTTTTAATTCACCATGCTATATCTACATATTGATATACACGTTCATTAAAATAGTCATATACCTCATCAGCTACCCAGGGTTGAATGACTTTTATATATATACTTATAAATGTACCCGCATTCTTAGGGATATAATTACACAGGTATAATTAATTGTAAACTGATATGCGACCTATAGTATAGATACCTGTATCGTCGGAAGTTTCTGACTTCGCGCTTTCGCCGTCCTTGGATTTAGATTTCACTAGAGGCGCTTTAGTTTCCCCGGCCGACAAAGCTGTCTCTTGCGGCTGTCAGTTGATAATTGAACGTATAAGGAGGCATCAATAGGTAATTGTATTTAATTGTACATATTTGTGCGTACAAGGGGGTGTAAATCGACAGTTGTAGGTGATTGTAGGTATATATAAATGAACAAGTTGCTGCAATATATATATATATACACATATATATACATATACATATATTCATATATGTAAAGTATACTTCTATACTTCTATACTCCTATATGTATATATATATATAATATATAATATATAATATGTAAATATATATATATACATACACACACATATATATATCCCTATGTATAAACATATACACATACACATACATAAACATATATAATAATAATAATATAATCATAAATAATAATATAATTAGTATATATGTATTATAATAATACATATACATATATACATACATTCATATATATATATTACACACATACACATATATATATATTTATATATGTATATATATAAAAGTAGAAAGATGTATCGCATTATCAATCAATATCTGTATCTATTTCTACAAACTATTATACACTAAAACCTCACTAATATATATATATATATATTTGCACGTATATACATATCTATAGATCCATATATTCAGCAATCTATCTATTTATATACATACATACATACATATATACACACACATATATATACATGCAAAAACACACACACACATATATATAGACATCCACACACACACACAGAGATACACACACACACATATATATATGTGATCTTCGCTATACATATATACATATATATAAGTATATAAATATAAGTATATAAATATATATATATATATATATGTACATATCTATATCTTTATATATATATCTTTACTATATATGTATATATTATATATATATATACATGTATGTGTATATATGTATATATATATATATATATACACATACATATATATATATATGAGCATACCACTTCAAGTGGTGATACAGTCTTTGCTAGAGGAGACGCGGTGCGTTCATTATTGGTCAGGACTGCCTTGACCGTCTGCGAGTCGGGCGCAAAGAAGTCGAACGACACTTGCCCACCTATCTGTGAGGCTACCAGATACCTGTTGTTGAAAGGTAGATACAATACATAGCTCTAACAGACGAGTACACCGTAAGCCACTCCAACACAGAAGAGTATACGCGTGTATCATTTCTCGGCACTAATAACATCAGAGTTGAATATGGAACGAGGCGGAAAACGTAAACGTCGACCGACAATTGTTCGCATCTTAGAAGAGATCAGCCAAATGCCCATGCCTATGAATAGATGCTTTAAACAGCGAAATAAATCAAGTGTGACTCGGTAGACCCACTTGACTCCTTAAGTGTATGAATTGATATATTTCTCACACGAGTAGGAACATCACTGAGTGTATTCTATAAATAGCTGCTAAGTGTATGAATTGATATATTTCTCACACGAGTAAGAACGTCACTGTATGTATTATATAAATAGCTGCGAAGTGTATGAATTCGTATATTTCTCACACGAGTAGGAACGTCACTGTGTGTATTATATAAATAGCTGCTAAGTGTATGAATTGATATATTTCTCACCCGAGTAGGAACGTCACTGTATGTATTATATAAATAGCTGCGAAGTGTATGAATTCGTATATTTCTCACCCGAGTATGAACATCACTGTGTATATTCTACCAATAGCTGCTAAGTGTATGAATTGATATATTTTTCACACGAGTATGAACATCACTGTGTGTATTCTATCAATAGCTGCTTCAGAGGAATGAAATGCGCTGTTCGTCCTGAGATTAACCAACACGGCCCCGTTTGACAACAAATGGGTTTAATAAGGGGTTTAGGGGTTTAAAAGCAAATGGGTGCAATGTCGTGTACGACTGAGAGATGCGGCAGACTAAAACACGTATGACTTATGATATTGTATATCTGTACGTCAACCGATAGACATATATGTGCTGGTTCTGTATCAACCACTCCTAGGTGCTATGGTTGTATTAAACCAGCCCAGTTATTAATTGATCCCGATTCTCAGGACAAGTGCTTCTCGGATCTACTATTGGAGACAATTTAACTTACTATTTTTTTACTATACGTAGTTGGTCACACAGACGAAACACCAGCACAGGCAAACGCACACACACAGAGAGAGAGCGAGACATACACACACAGACACACATATATATATACATATATATATGTACATACATGCATACATACATACATATATATACACTTACACACACACAAACATATATATATGTATATATAAATATATCGATATATATACATATATCGATATATCTATATACATATATATAAGTATACACACACTCACACACACACACATTTATATATATATAAATATGTACCCACCTGTACATACTCCTTTACAAATTACAGCCATGACACTAATGCACATAAACACGTGAATAAACAATTTCGCGAAAACACCGAATAAGAGACAGAAACGCAAACACATACACAAACACACACACACACATATATATACCTCGCGTGCCAGGATTCGTCGAAGTACACATCTGTATTGCCACTCTTATACAGGCCAGTTACCATAGGCTCGCAGAGACATTCCACACGCATACGTACACGCCCAATAGGAAACAGGTCAAACCACCGGGTGTCCGTCTCTGATTGGAATAGCAATATGGATATGATACAAAAAAAGAGTAACCAAACTACCCACACATGTATCTTTATATCAATCAATCAATTAATCAATATATATATATATATGTTGCATATCCAAACTACCCACATATGTATCTTTATATCAATCAATCAATCAATTAATCACTATATATATATAGATATATATATATAAACATATATAAAATAAATAAATACACACACACACACATATATATATATATTATATATATATATATGCATGCATACATGCATACATACATGCATACACACACATATATATATATACATATATACATATGAATATATATAATATAATATATATATTTATAGATATATATATATACCATGCATGCATGCATGCATGCATGCATATATCTCTATTATATATGTATATATATATATATATATACATATATATATATGTATATATATAAATAAATACACACACACACACATATATATATATACATGCATATATATATATATATATATATATATATATATATATATATATATATATACTTATATACATATGAATATATGAATATATATATAAAATAATATAGTATAATATATATATATATATATTGATTTATATATATACATGCATGCATATAAATTTATATATACATGAATATATATATATATATATATATATACACATATACATATATAAATAAATATATGAATGTGTGTGTGTTTGCGTGTTTACGTACACGTCTGTAAAGCATGCAAGGAAAATTGAGCAATCAATACAGGCTTTGGCCTAAGGAATAATACTAAATATTGCAACACACCTAAAGCGTCGGCGTTCATACGCATGACTTCATGGATTGGCATACTCAACTTTCCCAGTAATTTACGGAACGAGGACTCAACCCCCTCTGTCTCCTCATACACCTGTGCATCATTTAGAGACAAATACATAGGTGCACATAAGTACATACGCACAGAAACTTAGTAGTACACATCAGCAGACATAAGCACATAAGTACAGAAACTCAGAAGTACTCATTTGAATACCCATAAGGTTGAATGAGGAAAGCACGTGCATTCGAAAAGACATACAGGCGCATAAATATATATGTGTGTGTGTTCGTGCGCTATATGCCATCTCCATCAGTAAGACTCTGCATCTTTGCGTATGTGTCTGCGTACGCGTATCTATTCATGCATGTACTCACACACTCAAGCACGTTGTGTGATAATCTCTCGCCAGAAGGACATTCCCCAGGTGCGTGGAGTGGGTGCAGGCGATCGGCAGTGTGCTTGGTCATTGTGGCAGGGGGGCATACGTCATTTGAAGACATTTGATCCACCCATGCTACACCTAAAGATAGGACATTTGATCCAGGATGGTCCATGGACATTCGCTATATGTAACTCAATGCGTTTCTTTTGCTTCAATATATAGAAGCCAGTATTGTTTTTCTTGCAAGAGTGGTATAGGCAGTGATGGGCCCATGCCCTTCGCAACATAGACCTGCAATCACTCGTAAGTACAGTAGGATACACACACACACACACACACACACATATATATATATATGGCGAATAAATGATAGCGCATGGTGGACACAACAAAAAGATGTTCGGTCCTATACGCAACCCATAACCACACACCGCAAAAACAGAAGACGTGCAGTGTGGCTGCACAAGAACAAAATAAACAACTCAAACGTATATTCGAAACGTTTATGCACAAACACATCGGGCTGGTATGCACCTAATAGTCGCCCCATGGCCTTGAGGAGTGATAGTTTGGGGTCAAGGGAATCCATCCTAATGATCCTACGTCCCAACTACAACATATGAGGCCGTAGAGCCCGCATGAAAGCAACACAAAGAGATGGTGCAGAACCAGCGTACGAGACCCTCCTCTATAGGAGATATATATATATATATATATATACATATATACCTATATATATTTAGATATGACACATTTATACATTCCCTATATAGGTTGCGTATGAGCACGAGGCTAACCTTACCTGTAATTCCATGGGTGCAGCGGCGTCGTCTGCAATGAACTCAAGTGCATCGTCGCCTGACCACGTAGCTCGTTTACCAGCACTGTCACGGAAGAATTGAAGAGTGATTGATAAATAGTTGTACATATATACACACACACACTCACACACACATATATATATATACACACACACACACATATATATACACACACACACACACACATATATATATATACATTGGTGGATAGATGGATAAAAAGATAGATAGATACATAGGTAGGTTGGCATATATACACGAACACACACACACACACACACACACACATATATATATACATACACATATATAAATATATATATATATCTAAATCTATGTATATGCATATATATATATATATCTAAATCTATGTATATGCAAACAAATCTACATGTTGGGTTCATACGTAAACCTGAACCTTATAGTGTTGTGCTGCAGCAGTGTCCGCGTGCTCGTTTATCCAACACAAGTAACTCACGCAGGCACCAGTCCCATTGTCTCACCTGTCGTATTCGACGGTGTCAGTTCTGAGCTTCGTATTACGAATCCTGATCTGCACGTACGGCGACTTGCACTTCTTGGCATTCTCCAACTGAGTGGTGCAGAGTCGAGCGCAAACCCCCCCCCCCCAGGTTTGTGATGAGTGAACACTGAACTCCCTACTAGTGTACATACACCAAGCTATTTATATGAAGACTACCTGACCTCGCTTAAGAAAAGGAGTGTGTCTATGCTCCCCATGGTAGATTCTGAGTCACGCGTTAACCAACTTTACAACACAGGCACACACAGGTTATCGCCGGTCCACCATGCGACGAAGAGGTGTGTAGGTCAAGCTTAGTGTAGTGGAGCACGTGCACACGCACGCTTAGAACGACCCCACGCTCACAAGCACATATTCACGCAGATACATGCGAGTATCAACCGTCCAGTCTTTTACTGGTTCTGAGTGGGCGGAACCGCACACAGTACAGTACACCCTGCACCCTACAAACCCTGGGAGTGACACATCAGATAACGCTGCAGTCACTACACTGATACGCACACGCGCCACAGATTGGTGGCCAAGAGAACCACAAGCACAGCAGGGCTTTATAGTATCTTGGGTGCGTGTGCTGTGTCTATTTGAAGAACTCCATCAGCATGTGGCGTTCTATTTATAGAACGCCATCTGCCATAGGGCCACGTCACCAGAATAGAGTACGATGTCTTTTAAGGCATACACGCGTTAATAGAACAAGATGTACGTCATATGCAATGGCGTAAAGTATTGTTGCAACAAAAGGTATCGGTATACAGTAGGCGGCATGAAAAAAAAACGTATAATCGCATTCACTTGTAAGTGTTTGTAGGGATATATATATATATATGCATACTTACATACATACATTTTAAATATATATATATATATATATATGTATATACATACATACATACAGACAGACATACACACACACACACATATATATATATATGTGCATACATGCATACACACATACATGATTACACACACACACACATACATACATATGGGTCTTTTGTATCGTACCTCGAGGACTGTCAGGTGAAGTATGGCTGTGAACGGTGCCAGAGGTTCAATATCAGGTACGACCATAGCCTCATGCACCAGCTGCGGAGGTGCGAGAGTCAAAAATAAAGTGAGTTCAGTGATGCACAAGATAGTCGAGAGGTCATACAATGGACAGAGGAGACAACTATAGGTCCAGAGAGTAGGTTCTAGTACATAGAATACGGTACATCATGGTAGGTAGAAGAATGCTACAGTAGTCGAACGAATACAACATAAGATATGACTCAGGCAAGTCGAATCCGAAGAGAACAGTGTGAGCTGTTGGGTCATACGAAGTATGAGCGCAGGACATCTATCTAGATATCAAAGAAACTGCACAACGGACTAGAAAGTTGAAGCCAATCTCAAACTGCAATATATATATATAAATATATATGTATTAATATATATATATGTATATATATATATACACATATACATACATATACATACACACACACACACACATATATATAACATCATAAAGACTACAAGTTAGTTCACAGAGACGACACATGCGCTCGATATTTATCAAATCATCAAAAAAAAAACTGCGCATTGGTCAAGGAAGAAGAAGCCTATCACGAACTGCAACCACTCCCTCAACATAAAGACTACAGATAATTTCACAGAACAAATACATCATACACACAAGTAAACTATGATCCAAGCAACTTGAAGTTCGCCAAACTCTATTATTCTGAAGTGGCCGAACGAAAACCCCAAAACCCTAAACAACGCGTACCTCATCTCTGGCGACCATGTTGATGTAGTCTAGCCCATTGCTTTTGATGTGGCGCTCAATGAGATCTATTTCTGCGTTTTCCAACCCCTTCCAGCTGCATATCAAATATCAGAGAATGCCAGAGCTGAGACAGTAATGATTTACGACAAACACAAATAATATATACACACACACACACACACACACATATATATATATATACATATACATATATATCTACACACACACACACATATATATATATATATGTATATATAGATATATATCTTTTTTGAAGGTACACACACAAACACAACTCCCTCCAAGCTCACGGCGTTGTATACTGATCCAATGACAAATTCGTCATAAATAAATATAAGCATGAATACGGTACACAATACCGTACGTTTGATACGATTCTTCCGTCAGGCATTCGGGGTAGTAGTAGGGATGGTTATCCTGATCAATCCATTGCTTGCGCGCTTCTACGATTTGCAGCACCTGCCTTGGGTCTGAGTTGTACTCGTTAATAATCCGCGTTACGCTGTAAACAGAGAGAGATGGTGTTATTATAGGGTGGTGATTCTTTTGGAAGCTGTATATATGAATACTGGTACATATACATACATATACATACATATACATACATACATACATACAAACGAACGAACAAACAAACAAACATACATATATGCATACATACATACACACATACATACACACGTACATATATATATAAGTATAATATATATATATATATCTATATATATCCATAATATATATATATATATACATACATACACACACACACTGACCTATTCTATGTATGTATACAGCTCTGGTATTATCTATTATTACGTTATACGTACACACACACACACACATATATATAAATATATTAACCGTTTTAGAATATAGGTCTTGGCATTTTGCATTTTATTATATCTAATTACTTCAGTTATAATTTCACATTAATCTATAACTTACGAGCCTGTCTTATTTGTAAGCATAATACATTTAGTTTAAACCATCGTTAACTAATAAGTATTGCGCCATTTCCTATCACATTTCACGTCGCGTGGCATGTATAATACATTGTTTATGCATCCAACTACCTCTATGGGTCTACAAATGTTTCGTGCCTATCAATACGTATATGTCTGATCTATATATATACATATATCTATATATATATATATACATATACATACATATATACATACACATATATATATACATACACACACACACACATATATATATAAATAATATATAATATAATAATAAATACATATACAATAATATATATATATATATATTATGTACTAATTAATTATGTAATTAACAAGTAACTATTAACGTTTCGTCCTGTAGTAG